ACATCTCGATTTTTCACAGTAAATAACAGCAACTCTTTTTCATAATTAATTTCATGTGAAAACACTTAATGACACAACTTAATCTAAGACATTGAAATTAGTTAAGGGCTCATGAACAAAAATGAGGCCCAGAACCTTGACCACTTCCTGCTGTTTTGATTCCATTTAAGTGTGACTGCTTGAAGACCAAACAGGGTAAAAGTCTGGGTCATTAAACCAGACATCTGAAGCTCAATTCAAAATAGATGTTGGAACTTTAATTTTTTATAAAAATGTCAGTAGATGATTTGACTAGCCATTTGGTGCCTTTAGATGAAAAAAAAAACAGGTAAACTATTTTATGCCATAAACTTAGAAGGAAACGTCATTTGACATTGAAAAATAAAAAGACAGAATGTATTAAGGTGTGAGCAAAGATGGTATCTCATAAGATGACTCCATACAGCCTATGAGCTTTAAACCTAACAACCCATAAGATTTACTTTTTTATGAAGGCTTGAAACTTGATATCTTGACAGCAAGTAACCAAACTTCAAGAACAACATGAGCTAGAGAGGCAACTGGCTAATGCTAAGGTGAACCAGGCACAGGCTATTGTCAAGGAACATGAAGAGAAAGGAATTAAAGAAAGAGAACTGGTGAGTATAAACATGTCATTTATATACTTGTCTACCTACTTAGTGGAACTTTTTCTTTTAAGCAGGAAGAATTATACAAATTTTGAAGTAGGAGAGTTTTTCAATTCATATTCTTAAAAAATGATTCTATTTAAAATATTGTACTTATAATCTACAAATTAATACTAAATACAATGCTAAAAGAATTCTTTTTTTTTTTTTTTATGTCTAGCTGCTGTTAAAACTTGCTGAATCAGGCAAGAAAAATCAGATATTAGAAACTCAGGTTTGTAATTTCCTTCTCTTCAACTAACAATCTTTATAAGATTTAGTTGGAATGAACAGATAAATGCATAAATAGTTTGGCTATAAAAGGCTTCATTGGACCAAAAAGATGGATTGTAAACATCTTGCTTTTAAAGGCTTTATTTTTAAATCATGCAAATAATTTAACTGGCCCTTTCTTCTCATTTTTCCTTTTTTAAATGATATTGTAAATATAAATTGATCGGTGAAGATGTGTATAAAAAACTATTTACAAAGTGCATTAATGTAATATATAAACCTATAAATTTTATTTTGATCTGAAGTAAACTATGGTTGATCAAACTATAACATCCTAGATGCTCTGGTCATAATCTCTTTGGTGGACCTGTGGAAAGCAGAGAATATGTTTCTGTACTGCCTTAGAAGTGCTCCATAAACACAATTCATCATGAGTCAAACCCTAGGTAAAAATTCCTGGTTCGAATTGGGATTTGAACTCGACCCCCTCTTATTAGATAGCCAACCGATTTATGCCACTCAGCCAGACATCATGTAGTTTATGGTAGTGTTAAGATAATTAAAATGGTATTTAAAAAATTAATGCAAGTAGTTTAAATTCAGAAATAAAATGACTACCGTTTGACTTCATTTCAGGTGGCCATGTTCAAAGAGCGCTATGATGACTTTGAGAGACTTCATGCAAAGAGCTCTGAAACCTTTCAGAAGTACAAGACTGAGATGGATAAGGTGGGTTTTGGAAGATTGTAGATTTCTCTTTGCCGGAAAGGGAAACTGAAAAAAACCCAATAAAACAGCATGCCATTTTTCCTTGGCACAGACTACAAAAGAGCTTACAGCTCAGCAGCAAAAAGCTTGCTAGAAGAAGTGACAAGGCTTTGGGTGAATTTATTTATTTATTGTGTGCTGTACTTGGACTCTGCAGACAGTTCTCAGAAATCTAATTTAAATTTATTTATTTATTGTGTGCTGTGACTCTGCAGACAGTTCTCAGAAATCTAATTTAAATTTATTTATTTATTGTGTACTGCACTTGGACTCTTCAGACAGTTCTCAGAAATCTAATTTAAATTTATTTATTTATTGTGTACTGTACTTGGACTCTGCAGACAGTTCTCAGAAATCTAATTTAAATTTATTTATTTTTTTGTTTGCAGATGACAAAAAGAATTAAGAAGCTGGAGAAAGATGGCTTGCAGTGGAAAGCCAAATGGGAAGGCACAAATAAAGCATTGATGGAACAGATAGAAGCAGTAAGTGAAGTGATGTTCACTTGAATAGATGTTGTTCTGTGAGGGGTAAAAGAATTATAAAAAAAAAATTGATATTTGTCTTGAAGATCTAATCCTTCAATCTCATCACTATTAGGACTGTCAGTATCATATAAACACCATTCATATCAGCATCATTATCAGCAATAATTTTATTTAATGTTATTTCTGTGGCAAATAGTACATATTTGTGTACTAGTCTTGAGTGACCTTCACTCAATAGTTTTTCTGGAATTCCTCCTCTCCCTGTACCAGGGTCCACCCAACTCTAATAGGTACCTGACTTGGGGAAAGTAAAGGCTGTTGGTTGTGCTGGCCACATAACACCCTACTCGTCAACCGTTGTCCAAAGAAACATGACCTTGACATTTTCTGCCCCATAGGTCACAAAGACGGAAAGGGAACTTTACTACTACTACTGTTATTATGGTTCTCATTTAAATTTTTAAAACTTTCCGAGAAATATTTCTAAACCAATAGTCTTCTATTCCCTGCTCAGTTTTGCTAATTGTTATAAGCATGTGTCACATATGAATTTTCAAATTGTAAACTTTGGATGCAGTTGCAATAATTAATTTTTGGATGTAACTTTAATCAAGTGTGTCAATGTTTTGTTGTTTTTTGTATGAACAGCGTAGCAAATCCGAGAAGGATTGCCTTATGTATATACAAAAGTCTAAGAAGTTAGAATCTCTGTGCCGAGCCCTTCAGGCAGAACTTCATGGCAAGAAAGTCGTGGAAACTGATACAAAAACAGGTATGGCACCAACATTATAAGTAGATTGATTTTTTTTCTTTGCTTTTGTAGAAAGTATTGAGAACAGTACATCAGCAAGGGGGGCAACTTGAATATTTATTTAAAAAAGAAAACATTTAATTTTTATTCATGGCTTGTGTCCATAAAAAATGTGGTTACAAGTTTAGCCTGACCTATGTATTAAAAGTGTTTGGCTTAAAATGATGAATGGAGCTGGGTATTGCCAATGAAAAACAGTGCAAGTTTACAGACTTTGTTTCCATTGATATAGTTTTTCTTTTTTTTTTTTCTATGGCACTCCCATTTTGTAAAGCAAGAAAAAGTTTCAAACAAAAAAAAAGAAGTGTTTTTATACATTAGTCAAATGATAAAATGTTGGAAAACAAACTTTGTTTCTATCACAATTCACATCTCACACTCATTTCTTTGTGTCTCTTCTTATTGTTTTTAAGCAGGCAGTTAAGAAGATGATATCTTAAATAAATAAGTTAGGTATAATAATATTTGTTGATATATGTATATATATACACATCAGAGGCATAAGCTTAAAAAAATAAATACATCTTAATTATTGGTCACCCTGCAGAATAGCAAATGATAGGATAGTGCTGATAAAGTTCCCACATTTCTTTGTTTTGTATCCATTCCTCAATGTTTCATCTTTGGTGAGGTTCAAACATTCTTTGCATTTAGTCTTTCCATTATTTCAATTACCTTCCATTCTCCAAAGTCCTGAGGATATTTTGACATGACTGTATCACCTGAGTTTGTTGTTTTGTAGTAGCCGGCAAGTAGTCATCTTAGGGCCTAATTTCAACTATCATATTCTTCTTATTTGGTAGTTTCCTAACCTGGGCCATGCTACTCAGCCGTAATGTGGTGTCCAGGTTGAAATGCTTGTTAGAGGAAGTACTAGACTAATAAGGTAGTAAAAGAATACTATTGCTCAGGTGCGGAAGAACATGGTTTCTTTGCACTGGTTGGGAATTGAGAGTCTCAACAACCCTGTCATGATCCAACTGCTGTCCCTAAAGGGGCCGTTTGAGTTACTGTGGTGAATTAAAGGAAAGTGGTGGAGGTCCACCGGTGTACTCAGCCTTCAACCGTATCTCTAGCATTTTGAATTTTGAGGCACTGGTAATAAAGATATAGATATAGACATCTGCTTGGAGCCCACTCAAACAGAACAATTCTTCAGACAGGCCATTGGAAGGTTGCTTTCCCTGGCCTAGAGTTTCAAGAGTCTCGACTATTACAAATTCGGTAGCTTCATAAAGAATCTATTTTCTAAGGTTTGGATTTTTTGCTTTTGATTGTGTACATGCTTTCTCATTTTGTTTGATCAGAATGTATATGGGTTAATTTTTTACTTTTTTTTTTTAAGAATCTCAGGACAATGGAACAACGTCAGCAACACCCAGCAGCTCTCCTGAACCCGCTAATCTTAAACCTATTCAGTTTCCTTGTAACGCAGAGCTGTCTGAAGCACCAAGCAGTTCACCTTGTAAGCCAGAGACTTCTGAAACAACGACATCAACAACTGACCCCTCCCCAGCATCTTCCCCCCCACCGCTGGAACCCTCTTCCTCTAATCAATGCCAGCCAGAGACAGCAAGCGATGCCAGCTCAACCACGGCTGAGAACAGTCCTCCAGCTATTGCCTCCACTAACAGTTGTGAGACAGCACCCGAATGTGCTGGAAGCGGAGAGCCTGTTGCTTGCAAGCAAGTTACTGACACCAAAACTGATGGGTCATTAGAAAATGATCAAGTGGATAGTGTTGCGTGATAAGGATGAATAACCCAATTCTGTTTTTAACCTTTTTTTTTTTTTTGCTTCCATTTGTATATTTGTGTTGTATGCTTGCACAATCTTTTAGTCTCTTTTAGTACCTAACAGATTTTATGATAATATCATAAATATTTATGATAAAGTTTTTATTCAAATAAAAACACAGCATCTATACGATTCTAGTTTTTTAACAAATGGTAAAAAATTGTGATAATGACATATCTCATGAGGAATATTTTATATCTCTGAAACGTTTTGTATACTTTAAAAACTTTTTTTTTCTTAATACATAATGATTTAATATATTAGTAATTAATATTTTAAATTATTCTTTTTAAACATATTACAAATAAATATTTTGTTTTAATGATTGATTGAAAAACTATGGGTTTCAAAATCCACAAACTGTTGCAGCATCATGGGAAACTCTGATGGTATCGCAATCTACCCTCTAGCTTTGCTTGAAGTAACCCAGGTTTGTGAAGCGTAATTAATATACTTATCTCCCCATGTCTTTGTTTTGGAGTTGTCTCATTGTGTGTGTGTGTCAGCCATTACTTTTATATTTATCAAGCGTAGAATTACATTGACAATGACATTAAAATCTATTTGCCTTAAATGAAAAATGTTTATTGAGTTTTGCTTCTTGTGTGAAAAAAGTAAAGTACCACTTTCAGATCTTGCGATCTACATGGCAGATGATGTAAGGATTATCTGTTGCTATGGCTGACAGTTCACTAGGGTATCATGTGGCCAGCACAATGACCAGCTGCCTTTACATTCCCCAAAAATTAATGTCTAGTACCTTTTAGAGTTGGGTGGACAGAGGGGCTTCCAATATATCCTGAATTTCAAAATATCAGTCTTCACTGAGATTCAAATCTGAGACCCCTTGGTTTGAAAGCCAATCGCTTTACCAATCAGCCACCACACCCCCTACTTCTTATGTGTGGTGGCTTCATAGCAAATGTGTAAACTGAGTTTATTTTGAGTGCATGCTTTGTTTTTCTTAAGGAGCTCCTTATTGTTGCGATGACTCCCACTTAACGAAGAGTTTTGTTTTCTAGCAAAAACTAGCTGTCTGAACAGAGTGCTCTTGATAACTCCTGCTATACACTGGGATTTCATTTAGGGATGTGAGGATGTCCTCTTAGTAATTTTTGTTGTCTGTAAGTTTCAGACATTCCTTTAATAATAAATATTATTACATCTTACTTCAAACACTGGACAGTTGAGTATGAACTCAGGATATCAGGACTACAGTATGAGGTTCATATCATACAGTTAGCTTACCAACTTTTGGGATGTTTATATGTAACTTGATTTTTTTAAAATTTGGTATATCTCCTAGTTCTAAGGGTGCTTGGCTATCAGAATAATTTAAAGGGGAATTAAAATTATGGCCAACAAACAAACTCAACTGACTTAACATCATTTAGGTAAATGGTTTATTTAGTGGCATCTGTTGTAGTCTGTTTTGACATGACTTGAATCTTGTTACATAAAACCACAATACAATTCATACTAATTAACTGGCAATACTATTCCATCAGCCAGGTAATTGTAAGTAAGAGCTAAATATTAATAAAAAGCAGTAACATTTACGGTAGGTTGCATAAGAATATTTGCTACCAAATATTTATATCTTTTACCAGCAAAATGTGAAATCCAGGCATTCAAACTAGAGATTTTTGCAATAAACCAAACAATGTCAAGGACTTTAAATTAAACTTCCCTGTTGCTAACTTAATAAAAAAAAAATTTGGCTTTAATTGTAACACTATCTCAATGCATGGGACCTGATCTTCATATCAAATCTCATTTATTACTGCTAGTAAGTTAGCTGTGTTTTTAAAATTGTTTTTAAAAGTCCTAGAGTAAAAGTCTAATGCTTTCTCCTGAATGAAATTATTTTGTGTTACAAACAGAGCTTTAAACATTGGATTCTGCAGTGCTTAAAGAGTGTACAAGTATTGCCACAGAGTTTAAAAAAAACAACATAGCATATCACCACTTCCTCTATTCTGTACACCAGATACACCAAAAAGCTGGCTATTTATAGAATTTTACTGCCATGTATGAACATCTCCAATAGATATTTAATTCAATGCAAAATAATTGAAGCTATTGTTGGCCTTTTAAAATTTGAAATGGTATTTTATACCTTTTTTTTTTTTTTTTTTTTTTGGTGTGTGTAAATTCCAATTATGATTAGGCCAAAGCATAAATACTAAAACAGTTTAAAAAAAAATAGTGATTATATATTTGAAATACTTATAATTATTGAAGAAAAAACTATTCAGTTTCAATCACATTTGATACATTTGTTTTTTTTAGATAATATGACATAGTACCCTCAAAAGATCTCTAGAATTATTCAAAGATTACACATTTTCTTTTAAAAATATCTTTTTTTTGTAAGAAACTTTATATATATGAATACATGTTAATGTTAATTATCATACAGATAGGCCTATACATTTTCTCCAATCCAAATGTTACCAAGAATAACAGGTCAACTAAGATTAAAGTTTATCAAGTTCACAATTTTTAATATTCCAGTGTAGTACAAAGCAAACCTTTTTTAATGCACAAATACTACAAAGATATAGATTTACACCTATTGTCTGCACAAGCAGGAGTGTCATACAAGCAATAGGGTTAAAGCCCATCTTAGTGCCGATTCTACCTACAGATAAAATACAAATGTACTTAAATGTGCACACAGAAAATGAGATAGTGCTTATCTTAGATCACGAAGGAATAGCTTGAAAGGAAGAGCTTTAAAAAAAATCGAGTCTGCAATGCTAAAAAGTGAAAAAATTATATTACTTTTATGCAGGAAAAAAACACACTTCCCTTATGTATGTACACCGGACACACACACACAAAGCTAGCTATTAATAGTTTCCCGCCACATTTGAACAAACACTAAATAATGTTAAATATTTTCCATCAATTTTAGTTGATATTTTTTTGGGATGGGGGTCAAAATTTGAAGCATTAAAAGTAGTCTTTGATGCACTATGTAATAGTTTCACATTACGATGTAATGTAATTCTATGATAGTGAATATAGTCCAGTGATATAGTACACTATATCCATTCTTTCAGATATCTACTCCGAGAAAGTCGAATACTGATGATATGAAGTCACAGATGGGGTTCTTCTTGGTGCCTTTGTTTACAACTTTGCGAATTGGATCTCTATGCAAGTTCTCAATGGGCAGCGGTCCTTAAAAAATGCGAACATGAGTCTAAATGAATTCCATGACAACAAGAATTAAACTTTTAAGAATTTCAAAAAAAGAGTCAATCTTTATATCTGTTAACTTGCCTCGTGCAGCGGCGAGGACAGGTAGCAGTCGTTTCTCGATGTGGCCGCTAGGGGCCCCCTCACAGCAGAAAGCCAACACGACAAAGGCTAACACGGTGGTCATGACAACACTTGACATGCTAGACTCACCGCACAAAGACATCCAAAGATGAGCCTTTTGGGATTTCCGTATCGTCTGGCAATAAAGAACTAGATCGAGTAGCGCAAATGTATTAAATCTGTTTATCTTCTTTTATATACTAGCCTCCTGTGTTTTTTATGTGTATATTGCAGATGTCACATTCTAGGAGCTGCAATTAACACCTCGAAAAATATCAGATTGAATTGTGACCAATCAACGAGAAGCTTCCATCTCCATTATTTCGTTATAACGTATAAGCGGTACGCTGTAAGATTAAATGGCTACACGAAGTGGGATTTATTATAGCCTTTTCTGTAGTCCCTAAATCTTGTTTTCTTGATGTAGCGATTAACCGCATTGGCTTCGAACCATCGTGTTTCCATCTCAAGCAAATGCGCAGTCATCTTGAATACGAAAATCGAGGACAAGGACACTACTCCACATGGCTATGGAGACCCAGCGGTGACCTACATTACTACGCATTATCACACCCGATGCAGCCGAAACCGTAGTCTGCCAGGAGTCAATTTAAAAACGGTTGTAGCCAGGTGCCGCCCACGCTAGAGCGAGTCAGCTGACGCCTGAGCTGATGTTAAAGTGTTTCCGGAGCGCTAATTCGCGAGGCTTGTGATGAGTGTCATTATTATTATTATTTTAAAACTTTCATATAAATCCATGACTATCATGAGGATCCCGGGTGCAAATAACCCATTTTGTTCCCTTGGTAAATGCGCCACTGATTCGGATACGTTTATAGCTCAAAACTATTAATTAACAAACCTTTTAGGGACAAGAGTTATCCTATTCGAGCCCTCACTGAAGTAATGTCACCTGACTCGTTACATGAACTAGAGAAAAATCTTTTCCACAAATTTCGCCTTAACTCTTTTTACAAAGTCTTCTATCAAACCCAGGTCATGTTAATTGCACTCCACATCAAGTCATGTTACTTCATTCGAGAAATATGAATCGCTAACTTCATTATGTATTTCTACAATAATTGATTCCCTGATATCAGTGGCGTAGCTAGGAATTTGCCATCATTTGGGGTTCCGAGATGTTTGAGCTCTTTGGGGGCACCTGCATTTTGCTAATATTTAATGTAAAAAAAACCCACTCATTTGGGGCCCCTCCCTCAAGTGGGGGCTTGGCCGGGGGGGGGGGGGAGGTCATATTCCCCCCTCCCACCCCCACAACTGTAGATACGCCTCTGACTTAGATGTTCTCAGATGTCTGGTAACCCTATCTCTAATTTTTATTTTAAAAAAATGCATTACGGTTCTAATTCACTGATTAGTGTTTGAAATATACAATAATACTATTTCTTCATCTCCATTAGTAACTTCCACTGCTCTACCTCTCACATTAAAAAGATTTTCCTTTTGCAAGGGCGGTAATACATATCAATTTTTGATCAATGTATAACAAGATAGCTTCCCTTTTATAGTATTATAAATTGTATTATTTTTCGAGTCCTGAACAAATGAATGAACTGACCATAGATCTAGTACATTCTTGTAGAAAAACAAACATGATACATTATTTAAAACAATTAAAGATACACAATTTTTTAAATTATGCAATCCTAACTGGACTTCTCACCAACGCTAACATTTTTAACAATACATTTTGTTCCTTTAAGACATCAAGACTATATTTGGGAAACTTTAATTTAAAAATCACTAAATCAATTGATAGAGTGATTATCCTTATGTAAGATGTTGAAGGTGATCGCCCCGCTCCTAGCCAGGAGGAAGGCTTTAAAAAATGTTGTTCTATATATTATGCAATTAAAACTAAAAAATTTTAATTTTTAAAGTATATAAACTTATTTAAGTTTACAACAAATATAGTTTGCTTAATTTCAATATTTTTAAAATTAATGTTTTTTAAAATAAATGTTTTAAAAATATAAACATTAATTTATATGAAAGCATGTATCTAACAAAAACATATTTATTTTATAGCAGTAAAAAAAAATAAATGAAGTAAATTTCTGACTTTTGATTTTGTAAAAATATAATTATTTTATAATTATCTCCCTTTATTTGTTTCGCAACCACCAAAAAGACTTTTTGTTCAAGACTATTTCATTTATTAAATTTCTTTCGCATAATTTGCGCTAAGTGCAGTGGTCATCTGTCCACTCTGGCAAGTGTGCCGAGGGAA